AGGCTCAACGGCCATGGCTCACGGGCCCAGCCGCTCCACGGCATGTGGGATCCTCCCAGACCGGGGCACGAACCCGTATCCCCTGCATCGGCAGGCGGACTCTCAACCACTGCGCCACCAGGGAAGCCCCATTACTCCCTTTTAGGTGTTTTGATTCTGTGATACAATTACTAAGGCCTTCACAACTCAGATTATAAAGGAATTCTTCCGTTATTTCTTTTAGTACTTGTTATGGCTTTATTTTTTATATTTAAATATTTGCTCCATTTAGGTTTTACCCTCATGTAGAGTGTGAAGCATAGGTACTACTGCTTTCTTTCTAGTTGTCTATTCAGTTGTTTCAAAACTATTTACTCAATAGTTCATTTTCCCCCCATTGATTATCATGTATTAAATTCCCATATGTATTTGAGTTTATTTCTATAATTCCTATTCAGTGTTATTGCTTTATCTCTTTATTCATATGCTAATATGAATAAGTCATAGGATAACACTACTCTGTTTTAATTAGTACAATATTTAAATTGTAAATATTTAAAATATTTAAAATACTGTATGGCTAGTTACCCTTTTATTTTTCTTGTTAATTTCAAACATTTTTTTTCTCAGTTTAAATTTAATTTTGTATATTAACTTTAGCAATCGGTTCTTCTAATAAAAAAACACTTATTGGTGTTTTTATTATGATGATGTTAAGTGTTTTTTAGAGTAATTTAGGAATTGCATATTTATGAAATTGAGTTTTTCTATCTAAGAACATTGTGTGGCTTTCCATTTGTTCATGTTTTCTTTTGTGTCCCTAGAGAGCTTTGAACACATTTATTCATATAAATCTTGCATATTTTTGTTCATTGTTTTCCCTAGAAATCTTGTTTCTTTTCCTATTGTAAGTGTGGTCTTTATTTCTTAATTATGCATTTTAACTGGTTGTTTATATATGTATATAAGCTGTTTATTCCTATATGTTTATTTTATGGAAACACACTGTTTCTAAATGTTTAGAAGCATATGCACAGTATAACAGAGGGCAGCTGGGGGTCTGCACCGTGAGGCTCTGAGGTCTATGGACTTGGCCCCGAGGCACTGCGCCTCTTACTCAACCTTTATACGCCAGTTTCCTCATGTGTAAAATGGGACAATAGCAGTACCTACCCTGTAAGGTAGTTTTGAGGATTAAAAAGATAAAGCACGAAAGCACTTAGTCGAACCTCTGGAGCACAGTAAGCCATAGATTAATGTTGGCTACAGTGGTTCTGTCGTCTTAACCACTGAAGCTCAAACCTAGTCAGACATGGGGGTCAGACTGGGAACAGACTTGAACCTCCCAACCAGTACTCCCACGCACCACTCCTCAGAGCTCCCACACCAAAGCCCGCCAGTAGACGAAAGGCTGTGGGGTGGGAGGATGGGGGGAGTGGACACAGAAGGACCCTCACCTGATTGTTGTAGGAAAGGAATGAAAGGGTTCTGTGGTGGTCTGCATTTGGGGGGGTCCAGGGAAATCAAAGGAGGAGACACATGCTAATGAAATAGTGGAGGTGGACAGGGCACTTTTCCCCAATGGTCACCTTGGACCACCAGGCCGTTTTTACACACATGCATCCTAGACCCATCTTTGCGTCCGCTCAGCAGTTCCGTGAGGGGGGGGAACGGGAAATCACAGGGAGTGGGTGGGATGGGGGAAGCCGGGTCCAGACGTGCAGACCCCTATCCAAGTGCGCATTCGCCTCCGGATCTCTCTTCACTTCCCTTCTTACTTCTCCTATTTGGGTCTCAGTCCCAAATTATCAGTAGGAAAGACAGGTGACAAACTGGGAAAAGGAGAAACAAGAGGGATTAATATGCTGGGAAGAGGTAGCCTAAGGGACCATTGGGGTTCAAATCAATAATACCATTTGCTAAATACCCCGTGGGCAGCAGAAATCCACAGAGCTATATTAGGAGTAGTGTACTAATAGCTACCGTGTCTTAAGTGTCTATTGTGTGCTGCCTGTTTCATGGGCATTTTTTCTTTTATTCCTAACAACAGTCTTCCAAGGCGGTGTTATTAAGCCAATTACACCACCTGTCTCTAGGAAGCAAGGCCTCAGTCCTCTCGGAGATTAGCGTCTGTGTACTAACTGAGGAGTATTTGTGAGCGGAGCTCTCGACCGCGGCGGGGCTGGGCAAGATCTTGAGGGATTCAGCCCTGGGCAGTGGGTGAGGTCCGGAGAAACGGGATGTGATCGGTGAAAGGAAGGATACCGTGCCTATTACTGGAAGAGGAAAGCTCGACCCGAGAGAAGCAGGGTGAGAAGCCTGATGGGCAAGTTCAAGGGGCGAGGGAGCAGCACAGGCTTCCTGCAGCTGGAGTTGGAGCCGCGAGGAAACGCGGGCTAAGCAACTGCAGTGGGCAAGAGGCGCCCGAGGAGGCAGCTTCCAGCCGGGAAAGTGCTCCATCAGCTCCCAGCCCGCTCGCCCACTGCTGCATCGCTTTTAAAGGGACAGTCACCGGGCTGCCGAGGCTTCGGAAGCGGAAATGGTCTCTGCTCACTGGCTGACGGTCTAAATTCAGACCGAAAGAATGTGCTTGGAGACAGCTGGTGGAAACTGTCCCAGGCCTGTCTTCAGTGGACATGACCACGTGCTGCTCGTCTTGCCCTGTCAAGCGTCTCCCTCTCTCCATCGCGCCCTCCGTCTGCCTGCCTGTCTTTCTTCATTAGGCTTTACAAAAAAGTAACCAACCCAGCGCCTTGTACCCAAGCAGTCCAGTAACGCCTGCTTGATGAATGCGAGCTACTCGGGTGCTTTATGAGAAGTGACACTTCCTCCCCAGCTTCTTGTATCTGCCACTGAGCAGTTAAGGTTAAAGCCCACCGCCGACGTGACTGCTGTTAATACCACGGGGCAGGGCTCTGGAGCTCACTAAACGCGTAAGCGAGACGCACGAGGCAGCCCCGGACGCCCCATGACCCGGGACTGCGGCAAAGGGTGTGGGAACGGAGACGGAGGACACTGCGCCCCCTCCTTCCTCCTGGCGGGCCAAGCACACCTTCCCGCCCGGGGGCCAGGGGCAGGTCGCTCCAGGTCGCCGGCACCTCCGGCGCCCGAGAAATCTGCAAATTCATTGCTCCCTTTCGTCTTCCGGCGAAAGCCTTCCGTCCCGAGTAGGGCCAGCCCCGTCCTTCGCCGCCAGCCTCGAGCTGACCGCCGAGGCGGATCCGACTTCTCCCCATAAAAAGGCTCCGGTTCCCTTTCCCCGCGCAGGGGTCCTAGGCTGCTTTCGACTTTGCTTCTCACTCGCAAGTCCCGCGGTCTGGGGCGGTGCTCAGTCTCGGCAACTTTCACCAGCTCGCCCCGGGAGTCGGGCCCTTTCTAAGACAATGTGAACAAAGAGGAGCAGGGGCGAGCGGGACGCGCGGGCAGGCTGGGGGCGAGCGTCGGGGCGCCGCGCTCCAGCCGGCCCCGCGGGGATCTGGCGCAGAGAGCGCCGCGCGGCTCCCGGGCGGCTCGGGCGGCGGGTTTCTTTGTCCCGGCCCCGGGCTGGGCGCGAAGGCCGCCGGCCGCGAGCAAAACCACGACCCGGGCTCGGGGCTCAGGCTTCCACATGCGCCCCGCGGGGGCAGAGCAGGAAGCAGAGGCCGCGACCCCGGGCGCGACCCGCGCCGGGCTCCCCCGGTTCGGCGGCGGCTTCGGGCCGTGGGGGACTCGGGGACCTCGCCTCTCGCGTCCCCGAGGGCAGGCCCTGCTCGCCCTCGGAGCGCGGTTCGGGGTAGGGAGCCCCCGGCGCGCGCTCCTGCACCCGGACTCTCCGCAGACGCGCGCCAGGCGAGCTCGGGGACAGAGGCGGTGCTCTGGCGCCCCCCAGCCGGCCGCACCGCGGGGCGGGACCTAAACGCAGCGCCGGCCCGAGATGCCCAGCAAGCCCCGAGCCAGACCGGGAGCGCGGCCACAGAGGCCTGTGTGTGCGCGTGGGAGGGGGCTGGGCGCACGCCCCCGTCTCACCTGCCGCACAGCTTGCGCCTGTGTGTCTGCAGGAGGAAGGAGAGAGGAACTGCGGTGTCTGTTCAAGCTCATTAGACCAACCCCCTTCCCTCCAACTCTCAGCTAAGTTTTATTTCATAACGCAAAGTAGCATCAGAGCCCAAGTGAAAACTAGTCTCCCGATTTCAGTCTGCACCTCCGCCACCGCATCGACCGAGGGTTCGGTTCCCGGCTTCGACTCCGCAGGAGAGCGGCCGCCCCGGAGGCCCGGGGCTCCGGCCTCGCGCTCCCTTTGTGAGGCCCATGCTCGGGGCGCCCCCGGTCCCGCGCTCGGGCACGCGGCGCGGGGCCTGCCGCAGCGCGGCGGGCGCTAGGACCGCGGGGAGCGCGGGCGGCGCGGCGCTACCTTAAACCCAGCCCAATGCCGCTGCCTGCGCCACTCTGCGCGCCGCGGGGCTGCGCAGGAGGAGCGCTCGCCGGCCACCTCGCC